TGGCTGCAGTGGCCTTCTGGAAAGGCCTCTGATTGCAAAATGCAGGCCCTGGGGACGCTGCAGAAGAAGTGGGCTGGCAAGGAAAGGTCTGGCTCCAAGGTAAGTGGGTGCACAGCACGTGGGGCAGCTTCACACCTCAACCCCCGCCCTAGCTTGATTTTTAAGTGTGTGCCTCGCCCTAAAACTAGGGCTTATTTTTGGGATAGGGCTTACTTTCAGGGAAACACGGTAAGTGCTACAGTGAAATGATTTCAAGAGTATCCAGATTTTTAAGAAACTAGTTCAGCCAAACAAGAGATCTGGATGGATTTCTTTTCCCTAAAGTAGATTAGATTCTTATATTTCACAGTGTCCTGCTTTGAAAACTAAGAGAACCACTAAAGCAATCTTGAGTGTATTTCGGTCACTATATATACTTTCTAGATGGTGGCATGCAGGCAACAGTTTGCAAGATTTGCAAGACAGTGTCTGGATTAGAGTTCTGTCTTGCGTAGAATAATACGAATATGCTTGGAGTAAATCTGGGTTTTGTTGCATTTGTGATACCTTTGGGTCAAAATGGACCCAAACTGCCTAGTTTTCCCCCATCATTAGCAGGGAATGTTTCACAACTAAACTAAACTGGTAACCAAATTTACATTTTAACTATCTGACTAAAATGTGTGGTGTGAAAGCTTTGCTTGACCAAAGCCATCATGGGCAGTAGAGATCAGTATTTATGGGCCCAACTGGTACTCATTATGGCATATGAAAGTTTGTATTTTGAAATGTAAGAGGAGAGAGCAAATAGTAAAGAGTATTAATTAACAAATGAAATGAAAAAAAGAAGTTTTATGTCTCTGAAAGGATAAGATAGTTGATCCTACAGAGTGGAATTGATGAAAACATGTATGGAAGTGAAAGTGAGGTTTAATTATGAAGGAAAGAGCTATAATGTTAATTAGAATTCAATGTTATCTAGATTATCAAAGATGCATATGAATATAGGAATTCATAAGCTGTTGAGAATTGCATCAGGGATGAGTTTTGAGAAACATTGTGCAATATTCTAAAAAGTTCAATCTGGGAGAGGGAGAATACCGTTAAATGATATTAGTGAACAGAAAGAAGATGAGAGAGTACAGAAAAAAATGCATTGGTCACATGGAAAATGAATGAAAAGCATAACTGGTAAGCAGTAAGTATAAGTCTACTATTCTTCACACGTTAAAATATTGTTCCCTTGATTATTTTAAAATGAAAAACTGACAATTATTGAAGGTACAAGCGTGATGAAAAGTTCAGAAGTTAGATGTCATATCATTACAGGTAGTCTCAAAAATGGATCTTAAGAAAAAAAAAATAGACATGGCAGAAAAAGAAATGAAAAACTACAGGTAAACAAAATATGCCCTGAATGGATAACATTGAAAACAAATCTCCCAATAATCTAAAAAGAGTGTAGACTTAACGAAAGAGAATATGTAAGCTAACTTAAAACAGTGGGAAAAAATATTTTACAGAACGTCACAGAGGTTTGTGGACATATACTAAAGGAAAGTACTAAAATGAATGTTAAAATCAAAAGTCTGTGAATGAGCAATACTCGGGCAAGAGAATAGCAATGAGGAAAATATTTAACGTACATATAGAGAAAAAGTTGCAAAGAATGCAGTCACAGAACAGGGAGCTGGGAAAATGCAGAGCAATTTGGATGGAAACAAATAACTGTTAAATAACTATAAACATATCTGTAGAATGAATTAGTACTGATAGGAAGGGATCTCTAGAGAACAAATAAAGACCGAACTGTAAAACCAACGTATGAAGGAAAAGTAAATGGATTCAGATGAAATCGATAAGGAAGGAATATCATGGTCGAATGAGCTAATGAAACCCTCAAGAACTTGTAGCTGAGATTTAGAAACAAAGGCAACCTCTGAAGTGGGGTACCAATGTGCTGGAAGTAAGAATGGTTTGCAAGGATAAAAAAGTTATAGTGAGTTCTAGAGGTGTAAATATACTACATTCATATACTCCTAATCTTATGTCTCGTGGTTGCTTACTAATTCTTATTCCTTTTCCACATTTTGCATTTACCTGAAAGAAAATGGCTTGGATATACAGATGAATTACAGCTGTAGTCCAATACAGAGGTCCCCAACCTTGGCAACTTTGACTTGTGGACTTCAACTCCCAGAATTCCTTAACCAGCTTGGCTGGCTGAGGAATTCTGGGAATTGAAGTCCACAAGTTGCCAAGATTGGAAACCCCTGGTCCAATAGATTCAAACTTGTTACATGAATACAAGTAAGCATTTGAAATTTAGCCACTTAATTTAATGGCTGGGTTCAAGAAGAGGGTCAGCTGGTTTGCTAAATGAACTGATTATCCAGGTGTGTACAATATGTAGAGCCAGTTTGGTCTAGTGCAGGGGTAGGCAACCTTGGCTCTTTTATGACTGGTGGACTTCAACTCCCAGAATTCCTGAGCCAGCCATGCTGAGGGGAAAGGGAGAGGTTTCCAAGCTGAGCCATGCTGGCTCAGGAATTCTGGGAGTTGAAGTCCACGAGTCATAAAAGAGCCAAGGTTGCCTACCCCTGGTCTAGTGGTTAAGGCACCAAGCTAGAAAGCAGGAGACTGTAAGTCCTAGTCCTGCCTTAACCATGAAAGCAGGCTGGGTGATCTTGGGCAAATTACTTTCTCAGGCCAATCCACCTCACAGGGTTGTTTGTGGGAAAAATAAGAGGAAGGTTTGTGAGGGATATTTTCACTGCCTTGAGTTATTTGTAAAAAATAATAAAAGCAGGATACAAGTAAATAAATAAAAAGAAATAAATATTATAAACTAACCAAATGGCCTGCCTTCAAATAGCATGCTAGTCAAGCTTAAAACTAATCAACTTTAGCATGTTATTTGGGAGGAGCATGTCATGTGAAAATTAGCTTGATTGATAATTGACTTTGTTAAGCATCTGGTCTTGACGTTTTACTAAAGATTTGTTAATATTTATAACTTTTTAATTAATAATTCTGGCTTTGAAGAGACAGTAACAAAATGCTGCGAGGTTACTGAAGACTGAATGTAAAAAACGGAATGGTAAGGCATTCTTTCTTCCTAATTTTACCAAGATTGACTAAACTATAATTTGTAAGGATTACTACATTAAAAAAATCCCCAATGTGATAGTGGCATGCTGTTGTATAAGGATCATGTAAGAGTCCATGCATATTTTATCCTGTGCATTCTAATTCTTTTTCCATTTAAATGACATGTGCATATCAGGAAACAAAACATTCTCCTTCTGTACTTCAGAGGCTCCTACTAGAATATCGTGCATATTTTAAGCCTTGGCCAAACACAAGAGATCCCAAGTTACAACTGAAATTCAAAGCGAAATTGCAGCCAGATAATAAATGTCCAGATAATATGGTGCATCCCAGCTGGAAGTAACTTCCGGAAGTTAAGGCTCTATTTTTAAACAGGCTGTCCCTTAGACAGGTGTGCTTGTTGATCAGAAATGGATATGGGCAGAAATAGGATGAATAATACACAGAATAATCAAATACAGTTAGTTTGCTTTCGGGAAATTATAGCCACCTCTGTGCCTTTACAGAAAAGCAATAAAATGCAATCAGTAAAATACAGTTATGTGCCATGAATATACAGAAATGTTATTTTTGAAATATATACAAGAAAACCTTTTCTATTGCCAGTGGACATAAATTAAATCACTGGACATAAATGAAAGACAAGTTTCTATTAAAAAGCATTAAGATTTTCACCTTATATATTGATTTTAGCAAAGCATGGTAACCAACTAGACTTAATTCTGAAGGGGTCATCATCCAGGCTCTTTTCACATATACATCAAAATGTGCTACATAATAGCCATTTAGATCATTTCTTCATCCAAAAATATAATTGCTTTATGAAAAAGCAATAAAATATAATTTTGCATAAAAATGATATTAGCAAGATTCAACTGAGAAAGTAGTGCTTGTATCACATTACTTCTCCCAACAATTCCCCCAAAAGGTGAGAACAAAAATATATAATATACATAAGAAAGCATGAATACATAGATTATAGGATGATCATACCCCTGCAGGATGCTTTTCTAATTTAAAAGATGTGCTTAGCATTCATGCACAGTTTCAGAGAATTTTAATTCTATAAAGGGTTATGAAAATGAGACAGAATGAAGTCATGAAAAGAGATGGTATGTTTGTCACAGCATTAGACATTGAGAATATGAACTTAGATTAACTTCCCAAGGTCATTACAAAATTAGCCAGTTTCCTTTCAACCTGTCTATATAGAAACACAACCTGCAAAGATAAATCATTTCCAGATCATCCTTTTGCTTTACAATTACAGTTCATTTTCCATCAATAATACACTTTATCCATTATTTAAAATATGAACAAAAATCCTGTTTTAAAAATCTGCCCTTGAGAAATGACAATTAATACATATTTTAAAATAACAACGTACAACTTGACATTGTTTTTAAGGCATGAAAAATGGCATATGAATGGGAAGAGCATCTAGAAAAGCACTATGTTGTTTTTGATAGAGCCAGTCCAAGCACAACACATCAAAAAACCAATCCGACTCTAGAAATGAACAAGTGTTCTAATGTGAATCAAGATTCAATAACGACATGTGTAGACGTTCTAGAACTTAGTTATAACAAGATTTGTTTTGTTGTTGAATTCTTCATGTCTATTTAAAGCACCAGATACTCTACAAAGCATCTTTGGCCAAATCATGCTTCTTTTATGCTGCACTTCCAGTATCTCAATAGATAAAGGGTGTGGGCATTTTCCTCCACTCTTTTCAATTTAATGATCACAGAAAAGTTCAGAGTCTGGGCTAATGCACTTTTGGAAGTCTATTATAAATTGAATGTAAAAGCAAAGGAAAGTTTCCTGCAGACCCACAAATCACCATCAGCCATAAGAAACATGTTGTGCATAGTGGTTTGTTTCTTTTTTTTTCTTTTTTAAAAGACTTATGTTGCTATATCTACATTCTCAATTTACCAGAGTTTGAGTGTTTCTACTTTACTAAAGCCAGGATCCTTTCGGAGTTCCCAATAGGTGTCATTAGAAACCCATGCTTCTCTCTGATTGGCTTCAATAACTTTTCTGCAAAATTAAAGAAGTTATTGGTTAAAATAAATTCAGAAATACTCTTTAAGAAAATAAAAACATACTTCAATCTAATTTACTTGTTGAAGAAACCTTCTGAAAAATGAAATTGCAATAAAATAATCCATTTTATTTAAGCATAAATCAACAATCAACCAATAAAAGAAGAAAAACACAATTAGGATAAAAAAAAGAAAAAATAATTGTTCTAAAATAAATAGGAAGGATTAGAAGAGATATTACTGTACAAGCTGTAGAATGGTACTTAGCTATGGTCAAAGATGTCAAATCACATTGACCTAATAATAATAATAAGATAAAACAAGTCAAAATGAATAGGATATTTAGTAAAGAATGAAAATAATAATTCTTGGTCAGTGTCTGGGTAGAAGGGACAATACAGAGTATCATGTTCCAGCATTTCAATTATTTCTCCACCATGTGGATACATCTCTGTTCAAAAGGGATCCTTCAGCATGTCCCTTCAGTAACCGCTGTTGTGTGGGTGCTGATTCTAGCCTACATTTTGGAACTGTTATGCAACTAAGTTATTTGGCTGACTGAAGAAGATATGTGGAGTGGTTCAAGAAGTTGTTTCTAGATAGAACTTATAAATCAGCCTACAACTCTGAATCAATGGGCCATTGTTTGAGATCAGCTAATGCACAATCATTATAAGTAGGCCAGCTTTACTGTGAAACACACATTTGTCACACAATCGGTTACCGTATATACTCGAGTATAGGTCGACCCGAATATAAGCCGAGGGACCGATTTTCCCACAAAGAACTGGGAAAAAATGGTGACCCGCCTATAAGCCGAGGGGGCATTTTTCACCACACACATTTTTCTGCCTGGGCTAATCGGCCTCTTTGCAACCCCACCCCTTAAAAAAAAGAGAGAGAAAAAAAATATGAAAGAGAGGAGTAAGAGGCCTCTTCTAACCGCGGCCGAGTTCATCTCGCCTAAGGCTGTTGACGGCCTCAAATTTAAAAAAATGGTCGGCTTTTTTTAAAAGGCGCAAGAAAAGGGATACCCCAGAGCTTCTATCAGATTTAACCCCAGCTTATTCTGACACATTGGAGACTGTCTTTCGCTTTCGCTTCTACCAGAGGCGAGGGGGATTTTGAAGCGTAGGC